GATATACTGCGGTCCTGCCTGGCTGCTGGACCGGTTCCGCAGCCTCTTCTCCCTCCGGTCTAAGGAACTGTGACACCATAACATGCACTGACTTGCATTAGACGTGGGGATGCCAAGGGACATTGCACAAATGGAGTGGAGGGGGAAGACAAGTGAGTGGTCACTCCCGTGGGACCAAGTATCTGGAGAGTATATCTTTTTTTATATTAGACCCTAAACCAAAACAAGCACTTAGCCCTTGCAGTGCGGGGGTAGCCCCACTGCAAGGGTTTCAATTTCTGTGAGATCCCGGAGTTTCAATTTCTGGGAGATCCATTTTGCTACACACTTCCTGTTTTTCACTTCCTGAATTCCTGTCCAGCAACCCCAGAGCTCCAGTCCACAAGTCAACATATAAGCCAAAAAAAAGGGTCACACAACTAAACACAACCACACGTGATAAACTGCAGCTTGCATGATAGGGACCTCATTATTACTTAAGCTAATAACCATGTATTTTAGTGTGATCGAACAGTGGCTCAAAATGAGTATTCATTCAGATTTCACTAAAAGATGTGAAAACTTCCAGTGAAATACATTTTGTAGGAAAGGTAAGCATGCAAATGAGAGGCAAGGTGGCCGCCAAAAACTGGGCCGTAGGCCAAAACACTCTTCTCTGTTAAAAAAAAAAAACAAGGTTTGCAAAATACACACATATCAGTGCCAAATAATATGAAAGCAATGCTTTAAGGAGATGCAGATACGCGGCATGTACGAACATGCACAAAAACAGTATGATTGAAAACAACCAACAACTACAGTAACAGATTAAATTCAATGGCGATATGAAACCCATATTGTTTTAGATGAACAAATGACTGACTTAAAGTGGACCTAACATAATATAAATTTTTTCATGCTAGGCATATTCTCGATTTAGGCTGGGTTCATACTTGGGCAGTCGTAATATGCGCGTCAAACACGCGTTTTTGCCGCACGGTTTTACACGCGTTTATGAAATCTAATATGCGGAAGTCAATGGATCCGCACGGAAATCCGCCCCAAAGAAGCTCAAGTACTATTTTGAGCATTGGGCGTTTTTCAGCGCTGATCGAAACACCCAGGTGGGAACCATGCCCATACCAATTAATAGGATTTCACTTGCTGAGCGTTTTGCCCAGGTGTGAACCCAGCCTTAAAGTGAAAAGACTCGCCTTCTGGCTTCCCTATTAGCAAGAAAGCCATCCCTATGCTTCTTGTCAGAAAGCCTTGAGCCGGCTTTCTGGCCAATCAGGAAGCCAGGCGTCGTGTAATGACGTGGTACCCGGCTTCCTGATTGGCCAGAAAGCTGGCTCCATGCTCCCTCGTCATGAGGTGATGAGGGAGCATGAAGCCGGCTTCCCAGCCAACCAGGAAGCCGGACGCCGCATCATTACACGACACCCGGCTTCCTGATTGGCCAGCTTTCCAACCAATCAGGAAGCCGGGCAGCGAGTCATTACACGCTGCCCGACTTCCTGATTGGCCAGGAAGCCGGGCTGCGTGTAATGACTTGCTGCCCGGCTTCCTGATACCGGACGTATCAGGCTAGGCATCGGGGCATTTGGGCGAGTACTGGTATCGGTATTGGTGCATCCCTAGACCTAACATAATAGATTTTTTTAATGTTAGGTGTATTCTAGACTGAAAGCGGGCCGAACTGGAACTCCAGGAATTAACAAAATTAACCCTTGCAGTGGAGCTACCCTCACACGGTGAGGGTTACCTGCTTGTTTTTCTCAAGGGGCCAGAATACACAAGATATACTCAACTGATCCTCAGTCCTGCAGCAGTCAGCAATCACCTCTCTCCCCCCTCCACTCCGGGTCTGTAATGTCCCTAGGTGTCCTTACATCTCGATGTAGATGAATGGACCTGCATTAGGCTGGCCCATACACCTATCAATTTTTTTCGTTTAACCCATGAGCTGAACAAAAAAAAACAAAAAACTGACCCGATACCTCCATCAAAAACAGCGTGTCAATAGAAGAATCACTGCTGTTTGCATTGTATTCCGACAGGTCCCGCCGCCGAGAGCTTTAGTGCAATATTTTGCAATTTTTTTTATGTTGGTGTAACTGGGATATATATTTAATTTAAATTAAATGTTTAATTGGGCTTTAAATACAAATCCAGCATGCAATCTCTTTAAGGTACTTACAATGATCAAGCCAAGCTCAAACGCTCCAACAATCATTCTCACTCACATGTGCTGTAGAAGCATGCACATTCACATAAACAAGAAGACAATAACAATCACCTGGAAAAGCAAAATTGGAAAAGCCAGTCAACTCTCTCCCCTGCCCCCCAGAATCCCCTAAAGAGAGAGCTGTACTTTGTAACCTAAATTAGGGCTGCATAGGAGCTGACACAGATCCAGTTACTACTACAAATGGGTCACACTGGCACTCCGTCCTCATGCCATCCTAATTCAGGCTGCAAAGTACAGCTCTTCCTGAGCTCACTAGTTTTGGTTGTTGAAACCCTGAGGAACCTAAATAAAAGAACCTAAACGAATCTTCAAGTGAGATGAGTGCTCCTAACCACACATCCAGGATTTGATCCTGCAGATGCCATCTTCCCCCATCCTTGGCAAACCATAGAAGCAGCTCCCTTGGACCATAACCAGATTCATACACTACACACCAATTGTTATTACCGGTTACTTCCTTTAAGGCATACATCCCCCATTTTTTTCAGACTTGTATCAAAAACAATTTCTACTTCTACTGGCCCAGCGCTACCTCAAATCTATTTGTTTTCCTATGGAGAGGGAAGGGAGTTACACAACAGGTGCCAAGGGAAGAAAAGGGGGAGAAACAGCAATGCACCATGAAAAATCTATACTAGGTGATAGATTCTTCCCCTAAGAACGTTTGTCAGGAGATGGTGGCAATGATCAGGGCAGCTTAATGACAGATGAAGATGTCCAGACCCGGCTGTAAAGTGCTGAATATGGTGAACGGTCCGATGTGTTACTTATATAGCACAGTTAAAGAACATTTAGCAATGGGACACAGAATGTCCATTTAGCTAAATTATGTTATTAGTATTAACTGAAGTTCTTCAGTTGCAGCTAATAGGAACAATTTTAATTTCTTGCATTTTGATAGGACTGTAAAAACAGCTGCGAGAATAATATCACGGTGGCTGTTTTAAGACTTGTATCCAAAATGTATCACCACACATCAGAAAGCAAGATGACTACACAGCACATTAGAACCGGTTCTGTCCAGCCAACGCAGGGTTTTAGCTGGATCCTATTAAACCAAAACTGATGCCATACAGTACAGGCTCACAGAAGCCAGAAATTACACAAAACTCTCTGTGAACCACATCCGGAATAGGCCCTGACAGTTGGATGCATTTTCCTGTCATTCTTGGACCCGATGCAGTGACACGAGGGACAGGATTCTCTGACGCTCTGTAATTTTGCACTGGATTGTAAGTAACTGTGTTAAAAGCTGTAAAGTTACATATAATGTCCTTTGTTGAAAGAGGGCTGCTGTGGCTGCCTAGCCTGTGTAATATCACCGTCACCTGCGGGATTGTGCTGTTATTTCCAGACAGGTCACTCGAAGGCATAGCCAAGTTTATTAATTCTTTCATAGTCATCTTCAAGAGGCATGCTTTACTGTTCTTGGGTTCTGATGCCAAGAGGGCCTGTGGAGAGAGAGAAAAAGAAATAAAGTATTATCTGTGCAGTCTTAATGAGAGCAGTTTCTTTTCTTCTGCTGTCTTTTTTAAAGACAGGCTCCATTACGGAAAAAAATAAAAAACCTCTACGTAACCCATAGTTACAAGGACCACTTGCTACTGACATCTATGTTTCAGTTCAGCAAGTTCTTGGTATATGTTCCATATACTATGGATGTTTCACCCTAAGGAAAGGCTGTACATTTTCAAAACCTAGTTATTTACTATAATGCCTCAAAATCACATCATGATACATGTCTGAACATTATGATGGCCATGGCATAAGCTGAAAATAGAAGATGTCAATTAACCCAGCTTTCCTCCACTCTCCTTTCAGCAGCATGTTTAGGCACTCCTGTAATTGAAAAGTCACCTGGTGCACAGGTGATGATGGGAACAAAGTCAAACTGCACCTAAAACATTTCTTTTTGTTTTAGGTAAAGTTGGGAGGGAATTAGAACTCTCAGGCTGTGTTCCTGTTGAGAAGAATTCGACTCACTTCCTGTCTTGATTTTGGGTGCTGGAGCTTTCAGCTAAATACATTCCAGGTACATCCAAACAAAAGGTTTGCAAAATCTTAGTTTATTTTCTTTAGAAAGCAGCCACAGATAAATAGTTCAAAGGTTAAAAGCATTTAAAAAGGTCTGCCAAACAGCGTTTCTCATGCAGGCTGCACTCTTGCTCAAGTTTTGCAATACACAGTAACAAATGCTAAAATTGGATGATGGACTCTCTTCTCAATCTGGTAGAATGTAACAATGAACAGGTGAGCACTGGGATCTGAACCTATAAATAAGGTGGATTAGTGAGATCTTCTGTGGCATCGTTTGATTGCAAAAGGCATTTGTCTGCAAACATCCCTTGGATAAACTATGAGTGCCATACAGCTCTCTTATCTTATTGACAGAGTAGAAAAGCTTGTCCCTTGCCAGCATGTAGTACAGAGGGACCCTTGCTCTCTGTGTGGAAGCAGTGGCTCCTCTACAAAAGGTCCAACATGCCCCCGCCAAGTCAACCTATAGCCGTACAATCGACAAAGCTCATGCTTCCTGCTGATTGGGGAGAGCTAAGGAATGACATTACTGCTGCCTGAGGAGGTCCAAATGAATCCTATTTGGATAAAATATTAACAATGAATCAAGACTTTCCAAGAATAAATATTTAATTCAACATTTATTTAAAAAAAAAAAAAGAGAAATCAAGAAAACCTTTTATATAGATGTCTAACTTTATATAGAAGGGTAAGCTGTAAAAATCATACTAATGGTTTTAATACAGTAAATGAGTACGTGACACATTCAGTGTGTTTAAAACCCTTCAAGATCAGATGTCCTTTTGATTTTCGCTTGTCCAAACATCTACATGGACAATAGCTGCTTTGTTTTAGAGTCATTCAGCTTATAAAAAAAAAAAAGACCTGAAGACAGACTGAATGCGAGTGCTTAGATAAGGATGTGACCCATTTCTAGCTAGGCAAACCAGACTGTACAGGCAAATCACCCTTTCTCTGCTGTTGATATTCTATGGACTGCACTACAGCCTTATGGAGTGCTACAGCATGGAAAGGATTTAAAGTGGAACTGAACTCAAAAAGTGAAACGGTGCTATCTTATGGGGGAAATGTAAAATTGTAAATTGTGCCTAAGCAGTGCCCCAAATTACCATTCACCTTGAATTACCTTAAAAATAGCAGCACACTTCCTGAAATGTGAGTGCCTATAGCCTTATGGCTGTATATATGAAGTGTGAGCTCTAAGGTACTACTGCCTCTGACTGCTAGTCTCATTTGGTGATGTCACTACTATGCTAATCACAGTTCTCCTTGCTGGAGACTTTGGCATGAGAAAACAAAATCCTGCCTTTACCAAGATGGCTGCCTCATTACACATACAGAATTGTGATTAGTCCTTTGTCTGCCTTTTTTGGGCACAGCTTCAAGATTTCAGTTCACTTTAACTGAAATGTTTAGACCAGTGAGCTACACAAAATATATCATTAGGATAAGGTGAACAAATGCTTAGTTTTCCAAATCATATAAAGAGACATTGTCACCTTTCCCATGCAGTGTAAAGTGACAGTGTCTCTGTAAAGGACATCCCTGACATCTACTTACCTTACCTGTGCTCCCTTGCAGTTCCTTATTTCTCTGCAGCCCGGTGACACTACCTTGCACCAGGTAAGGAGGAGCAAGTGACACACTCCCTTGTAATGGTGCCTGGGCCTAGCATCCAATCCTTGGCCTGATAGAGAGAGAGTGACATCACACTTCCCCAAATTCACCAACACAGCCAATAAAGACTGTAGAAAAACGGGACCAAGTCTGGAAAAAAATTGTACCCTGATGCTGTTCAAAGCTGGGCTAACTATGGACGTGTGACAAAAAAAAAAAGCCATTGCTGAACAATTCATGTCAAATTTTAATGCTAAAAACTCTAATATGCAACCAAGTAACCAAATGGTAGCTATGAAACAGCTGCAGGGATTTTAGTTGAGATAGGAGAAGCTGTCCATGAAACAAGTCTAATCCAAAGGCTGCTCAAAGGTGGGCTAATTTATGGAAATGTGACAAAAAAACCATTGCTGAGTAATTCATATAAAATTTTAATGATAAAAAACTTTAACAAGCAACCAAGTAACCAAAAGGTAGCTATAAACAGCTGCAGCTATTTTCCATGGCAGAAACTGTCCATGGAACAAGTCTAACCCAGAAACTCTTCAAAGCTGGGCTAATTTTTGGAACGGCTAAGGTGGCCATACACTGTACGCACCTAAAAAAAGATTAAGGTTGATGGAGCCAAATATGGGGCAGTTCTCTTAGAAAAATGGTTTAACTCTGCAAGAGATCTGCGACTGGATCAGAGGTTAAGATTACAGTAGGACACTGAATAAAACGGTACCACTGTTCCAAAACATTTGACAGAAGAAAATGTAGAGCATTCTTATTGCTTAACATGTTATGGTATTCACCATAAAGCATTTTAAATAAAAATGGAAATACATATGGTGGAGCATTTTTTTTTTTTTATTTAGATATTGGGATTCTTTGAAAAGAACTGATGGTTGAAATGTAATATGTCTTTTCCTTTATACTAAATAGATGGAGACAGCTAGAGAAAAAATGCCTTTATCAAAAAAATGTTCAATGCCTGTTAAAATATTAAAGACTTAATTCTTATATTAATATTGCCTTCGACGGGATTCACACTGTAGACTAGTCAAAATGCTGTATTGTATTGCACTTATTTTTAATGAGCATGTTACGGTGAGGTTTGTTGCATTTTATAAAGCACATTAAAGTGTATGTATTTCCACTGACTAAAGATTCAAATGAGCTTAAACATGTTATTGTAATTTCAAAAGTGATTTTTAATCTTCTTAAATCTGCAGCTTTATTGAAAAAATATCTAGTGCTCAACAATGAAGGTCCTTCTTCAGGTACTTCCTGTTACAGTAAGAGAACGCTCTGCTCTTGTTTATTTAACGGTCTTCCAGAGCAGGCTGCAAGTGGCCACTGTGGGCATCGTCAGGGATTCTGCCCTAAGAAATGCCATGCAGCTATTGCAACAGGAGGTAGCCACAAAAAGGATACCGGCAATCGCGGTGCTGAGAAGCAACAAACGATTAAAAAAAAAAGAAGGTGGAAACAAAAATGGGAAACTTGATTTTTTTAATGATACACTGTACTTTAGCAAATTAATTATTCGGTTAGATTTAACATCTACTTTAACATGCGTTAAAAAACACAAACTATCTACTAAAATGCCATAAACGGTGCTAAAGGCACAGTGTTTTTACAGTATAATGCCTCAATGTGAATCTAGTGTTTCCAATTTAGAGCAAGAAAATGTTGACATTTTAAAATGGAGAGCTACAGATATCATTAAAGTGTTTATTAAACCCTCATTTAAAAAAGTTTATGTAGCACCATACCTCATATACTTCTATTGTTGCTGTCCCCTCTGTCTCTGTAGCCTCTTTTTGAAGCACAGTGTTGGTATTTCTGCCTATAGGGTGAATAGACTTCCATTTAGAGTTTCCTTTAAGCCACCCTAACGTGCACGGTCCCAGATGGGACTATGAAGGTTTGGAAAGAGGGACCAGCTGAAGGCATATTAGATTGAGTATGTATACAAATTATGGGCTGGACACGAGGATACAGCACACCTGACAGTATCAAAACCGGCATGCATGTGCACTATGGGCTGGGCGCAAGAGCACAGGAGGCCACCTGATTGTATTACAGCGGGAATGCATGCACATTATGGGTTGGAAACAAGGGATCATGGGACATGTAGTCCCAAAACAGGCAGCCACATGATGCAACAGTGAGCCCTCTGGACATTCAAGAAAGTGGAGCAAGACCAGAACTGGCTGGGCAAATGTAACTTTTTGGGGCAAAATACTGACAAAAATAGCCTGCCAATTGTAAATAATAACGTGGAGCTAAAGGGGAAAATACTTTTATGACATACAGCAACTAACACCCTAAAAAAGTTTGATGGTCCCTACATTCCTATTCCAATGAACAAATAATAAAGCATGGCCATGTCAAATGGACAGGATGGAAATGATTTACAGTAAAACTCCACTTTTAAATTCCAACTTCATACACACCTAAGCAATAACCTGAAGGCTTTAGATAACAAGCACCAAGAGGAAATATTTCATAACAGGAAGCTGGACCTGCCAAAATCCATTATATAATAGAAAGTGTTAACTAAGCAAATACAAGTCTTAAAGCTGCTGTATGAACAAATACCTGTCCTTCCACTAAATATTATCAACTTGTTGGTTTAAGATAGGATACCACGATACAGAACACTGTACAAGGGCAAGTCACAGCACGGCAGACATGTTAAGTCATTGTTGGCACCTGAAACAATGAAGGCATCAATGCCAGCCCCTAGGTTGTGCTGGTAGAGGCAATATTAGGTATTTGGTAAGATTTAGGAAGATTGTACACTTGA